TTCGTCTTTTGCTGTGATTGATTCACGCGTCCGTTCTGCTGTGGATTTCCGGCCATGGGACACTAGTCTTACTCTGCATGGGAAACCAGCCTCACTGATCTGCTTTCTCTGCTGAATATAACCATTGGCTGCGTTCCGATATTCACTGCCTAAAGTACTGAAAATATATAGTTCAGGTCACGTATATTATAGATTTTCAGTACTTGCAGTGAATATCGGAACGCAGCGAATTGACGCAAAAATTGACGCAAAATAATAAAATTTGAACGATCAGTTTAATCACTTGATCTATTTTGATGCTGAAAATGAGCATCAAGTATTATAGCATAAAAAGGCACCTTAATTCCGCGATAGAGTATTCAATGGCTGCGTTCAGCAGAGAAAGCAGATCAGTGAGCGCTCAGTGATTTTTCATATATATATATATATGTATATATATATGAGATTGGTCCTTGCCTTTAGATCTTCGTTGAATGTGAGTGAAAGAAATCAATCATAATAAAGAATCACTGAATGCTCACTGATCTGCTTTCTCTGCTGAACGCAGCCAATGGTTGCATTCCGATATTCACCGCCAGTACTAAAAATCTATAATATACGTTACCTGAACTATATATTTACAGGCAATGTAAGTACGAAAATATTTTCTTGAATAGAGAAAAAACATTTTTCTAGGGTTACTTTAAAAACAAGATTTCAAGCAAAAAAGAAAATAGCCTTAATTGAATTTTTATTACTATTACTTTATACTATTATAAATGGTGTTATAATTATAATTGCTTCGGTTATCTAGTAATAAACCTCTTCTCTATGAAAGGTACACACATAAGAAATGTGCATAGGTTAAAAGTTTTAGTTTAGAAATAAATAAAAATAAAGTCTACATTGTATATATGTAGACATGTATAAATTGAATCAGAAATATATTTAAAAAGTTCACAATTTTGTACTCGGGAAACCATATCGCTGCATCATTATGAGTGAAACTTCAGAAATACAAAGTAAAGACAATGCTTCTGTTATAACCGAGCAAGAACGCGAGTTGGCTCAAAATATACTGTCAGAATTTCAAAAAGGTTCTTACGCGTCATGTTTATCATATTTAAATAAGTTGGAGAGCCTACGACCTACCGATCTTAAAGTTACACATAACAAAGTCGTGGTAGAATACTATAAAAGTGATTTGAAAAAAACTGAATTGACGCGAAAAAGTTTGAATGCTATATGTGGTCAAATATCAACGACTGATTCTAATGAGGCTATCGATGATGTCGAGAAATGCGTTATGAGATATAATCAAGCTGTTTTGTTGTATCATACTAAACAATATAATGCTGCACTTCAAATCATGACTAGGCTTTTTGCCTTCATCGAGCCAATGGGTATGTATGACGACAGTTTCATATAGTAATTTATAAAAATTAATTGTTATAGCAATCAATGATTAAATATGTGTATTTAACAATATGAGAAAAAGTAAATTGAGATATTTGTGATATATTGATAGGATATGCTTATCAAATTGCTTATCAAATTGCTCAGTTAAATAACAATTTTTATTTGAGATATAGGAATCATATGATTATATATATATATATATATATATATATATATATATATAT